AAGCCCACGTGGGACGCTCAATGTTAAAAACAATCAGGAAACGACAAATGCAGTTTTTGGGACACCTGAATAGACAAAAGGGTCTTGAACATCTAGCTCTCACTGACAAAATTGAGGGCAAGCGAGGCAGGGGTAGGCCCAGAACAACATACTTAGGGAACCTAAACAAATGGGTAATAGGGAAAGATCAGGGAAACGTAGCTTTTCTGAGAGCGTGCGAGCAAAGGAATGAATGGAAAACCATGATCGCCGATACCTGTCGCAGATCTGGCACTGGATGATGATGAAATAGCCATTATTATATCGATGTGCTTTTATTTACTCAAACAAACTTTCCTCCTCCTTTTCTTTGTACGTTACTCTCTAGTAACACTTCTTATCTTTGCCCCTTCTCATCATGATCATTGCCTTTCTCACCCTGTATCAGGATAGAGGCCACGAACAAACACTCTCCACCTTTCCCTATCCTGGGCTAGTCGCTTGATGTCACTCCACGTCTTCCCACTTTTCTGTACATGATCCATTTCCGTGACTCTTCTCCAGGTTCCATGAGGTCTTCCCCTTGATCTTTTACCCTGTGGGTTCCAATCTAACACTTGTCTTGTTATGCAGCTGCTTGACTTCCTGAGAGTGTGTTCAATCCATCGCCAACGTCTTCTTCCCACTTCATCTCTGACTGGGCTCTTTCTCGTTCTTCTTAATACTTCCTCGCTGGTGATCCTGTCTGTCCATTTGATGCTCAGTAGCTTCCTCTGGCACTTGTTTAAGAAAACCTGGATCCTCTTTATGCACGTATGGGATGCGTTCCACGTCTCACATCCATACAACTAGACTGACTTCACATTTGAGTTGAAAATTCTAAGCTTATTGGCCCTATGGCCCTAGCATTATGACTTAATTGTGTTGCAAGTACCGTACTAGAACTAAAGTAAAAATGATGAAAGTCTGAAAACAGCAAGGTAATCCGTAGTTTAGAGTAGCCATAAATAGAAGCATTGAGAGGGCAGTGGCAGTGTAACTTGAGTGTAAGTGCAATTTCCACGTTGAAAATGCCCCGGCGGGATTTCAAATTGAAATATATTGAATACAAAGAGAAGGCATCATTAAGATGTAAAGATATCTTTTACTGTGCTTTTTTTTTGGGGGGGGGTGGAGGCTTGTGTATTTTGAGCTTCGCATCATGTCAAGCTTTTTCAAATGCAATTCTTTGAATGTCTTGATAACGACTCCGATTCATCTTACAATTTTGATAGAGCAGACAGATAGAACATTTGTCTTTTGTACTCATGGTCTTAGTAACTCAAAAGGGCCAAAATTATCAGATAGAACTTAGGAGTTCTGAGGCTACAATTAGTCTGCGGTTCCAATTAGAGTCAGTTCCATAGTGCGGTCCATAGAGAACCGGAATTGTGTCAGATTGCAAAGTCTTGGATTTTATGACACAAGTCTAAGGTTCCAAACAGAATCAACTTCTTAAATAGATGTGTTTTGAGTCCCCTTTTGAAAGTATCAAGTTTTATTTACCTCCTCAAATCATGAAGGAGTGTTCCAAACTGTTGGCCCAGAAAAAGACAAAGCTCCCTCACCATATTTCTTCAGTGACACACAAGGTGTTGAAATTAGTCTAGAGCCACTGGATCTTAGTTCACGTCATGGTATAATACATGTACTCCTTCTCCCCTCCCTCACCATCCTAACAGATATGGATATTTTGTCGCTGGAGTAGTGAACCACGTACGATCAATTTATTTATCATACGAACTGCGCATAAAGTGTTTCCGCAAAGAAAACGTAAGGAAGAATGCGCGTGACAGACCAGAATGCTGAACAGAAAACATACAATATACACAATTAGTTGTCTGTAGCCTTATTTGCGTACCTTTGTGGCTTCCTCCAGTCCTTGACACGTGCAGAACGACATTTAATTATCTTACATTTCTTCTGTGTTTTGTTTGATTCTGTTCCGTTCCAAGCTGCTCTCCCCCC